GATCATCGCCCATTGACTAAATCTACATTCAGATCAGCATAACACGAACTTTGCCCTTTTATTCAATACGTACCCTATGCAGTTCACACCGGAAACACACAAAGACCTTATTTACCAAACTACAGCATATGTGTGTTTAGTCGACTGAACCATCACTTGGCCTTCTTCCTCTTTTTGTCGGAAATCTTTCGTCCCAGTTCACCGAATGGCGAATTCTCTGAATGAAATTCAGAAAACATGAAAAAAGTTAGATGGAACCCATGTTTAAATGGGAAATTTTCAAAGAGTTGCCGGAAGATTGCAAACAACTATAAGATTTTGTTTGGAGATTATAGTTTTTGCCAACATAGAGAATCATTCGACTTTCTCCTGTTTATTGAATGTAAGGGAATAGGAATTATTATTTCAGGCAATACAGTTCACATGGGGAACTTATGTAAGTTTGTTTATCCGCTGGAGAGTTGTTTGAAAGATATATGACTTACCAGCTCGGAGAGTTAACGAAAAATTTTCCAAAGGTCATGAAGAGAATATATTTTTAGAAGAAACACTTCGCTTAACCCTAGAACACTAACCATCAATTAAAGTTACACCACTACTAACCATGGGTATATCATACCCGATTTTGAAAATATCAAAAAAGATATTAAATATAAATATTTATTTGAAATATTTTACATGCAGACACTTCAACCTTTTAGTTAACTGTAATAAGAACTGAAAAACCTTATTTAGGTAAGAAAATCAGGTACTGAAAATTGTGATTAAAAATAGGAAAATTTGCGCTGCGTAATATATACCCATGGTTAGTGTTCTAGGGTTAATATATGGAAACAAAGCAAAATCATGCAATCTATCCTTATTATAACACTTCCTCTGATATATATATATATATATATATATATATATATATATATATATATATATATAATTCATTCAAAAGTTATAACATAAATATGTTATAAAATCACTACAAATATAGCCATTTTGTTTCAACAATTCTAGCGTCTTACCAAGTGATATCCTTAGGTAATAGCTAACGTTTGTAAAAAATGAAACACTATATTTATATTTGATCATAAATAAATAGTTTATGAATACTTAATTGGATTCTAATATAATAATTTTAACATTAATATATATGTACTCTATTACAAAATAAATTATATAGAATATCTTAAGTTGGTACGAATAAAAATGTTAAATATAGATTTTAAGACATTTTTATGTTTAACATTCTTTTTATAGATACAAATATTTAAGTAAATGCTCTGTTTATAATAAATAGTATTAAACAACATTTACCGGTCTGAATGTCCGAGAAATTTTCACAGAAAATATTCGTCCTCCAACAGGATTCGAACCTGCATCCTATACGGAACCGTCATTTAGCTTGATGTGCCTTTTTCCGATTTGGCCACAGAGGCGCGTTCCGTTAGCAAGGTCGAATTTACTGTATTTAAACTTCAATCTTCCATGAATCTCACACGTACATTCATATTTGCTCATGATAACAAATGACGTCACACAATTATTTTAAATCTCTGAATAAATTATATTTGAATGACCCTTTTGAAAAATTGTAATTGAAATTTATATAAAAATAAAATTAAATAAAAAAGAAAAAATGTATTGGTATTGAAACCTAGACGATGTGTTGAAACATAGACCTACCACAAACATCTACTTGAAAAAGGAAAGTTTGTAACAACAGACAGGTACCCCAGCACCTACATTGACACGATGGGCTTGTTAGCTACAATACATTAGATACATAAGTTTTCTAAATTAGTTAAATCTTAACACCCCTAAAATAAAAATAAAAGATAGAATTTTTTTTACTAACCCCAACATCTCAAATTATAATTTTTTCTGGATTATAAATTAAGTAAATCAATTTCTAAAAGAAGTTATTCTTTTCATCGCTTGATAATGGAACCGAACTTTGTATTTTAAGTTTAATTTTTATGACTGTATTTGAATTGAAGTTTCAGTTTTGAAACATGGGAATACCGCTGTCGCGATAATTATATAAAAAATAATAAAATACAATCATATATATATATATATATATATATATATATATATATAAGGAACAGACTTCGACGCATTCAGAATAGTATTCCAAAGATGATATTTATATATTACTATGCACCAACAGAAAATTTATTCATAATGGTTAAATTGGTTGAAATAACTCAACCACATGAAGAAACGAGTATTTATTACTCTATAGGAATACTTTGTCATATATATATATATATATATATATATATATATATATATATATATATATATGGCGGCCTCCATGCTTGACTGTTGGAAGAAGGCAAAGGTTAAGCTTATTGGGCTGCCTCCACACATAAACTATCTCTGAAGTTGGGAAAAGAGAAAAAACTGGACTTGTTTGAGAATATGACTTGTTTCTGCAGACCAGGCATTGTGATCTCTGCATATAGATATATATATTATACGACATATATATATATATATATATATATATATATATATAAATATAAACACACAAAATCACACACACATATATATATATATGCACATATATCGACAGCATATCATCATAGAAATATTTTGTTTGAATATTCTAGACAGGTTAAGTTTATTTTTATTTCATCCTCTCAATTTCATGGATCAACTTCTTAGTACTGTTACACAACTGATTAAGAAAGACGCCTTATTTTTAGTTATTTCTTTTATTTCGAAAGTACTTTCAATCTCATCCAGATTCATCTCTCTGGGTTGATTTGCCAAGACAAATAATATGGATTTAGATCTACATAATTAAGAATCTAATTGCAATAAATTATAAAAATGGTACAAGATTATATAGAAATAAACGACTATAAATACTAAGTAATTTTTCCCGCAGATCTATAGAAAAAACAAGAAAGTTTTAACTCAAACTCTAGCGCATACATAAGTTAACGCCTAATAAACCATTGGTTTAGTAAATTACTGGGTAATGATATATCTAAGTAAGCTGAAGTCTGACATATGATGAGTCATTTGAACTTTTCCGTATCTTCACCAGGAATTATTGTTTAATGAAATGAGAAACAGTAAAATATTTTTTTTATTAACAATTGTTTTGGGAAAAAAAGAATATAGCTTCAAAAATGTCTGCATGAACAACAGAAACACCCTATACAAAACAAAACAAAAAAATGATTCAACCTTATTTTATTGTAACAAAATATCTAAATTTAAATTTATGTTAAATCTATTTATATTAAAATAAAATTAGAATTCATTAAAAATTTAACATACTGTACATATCACTTAAGATTTTAACGTGTATCTTGCCTTAAAAAATCTTTAAAATTGCCTATTCATTACCAATAACTTGAAGCATGCACTTCCTATTCATGAAAAAAAAAAATTTGTTTTTTTCTATTCTCGTATATTTTGGAAGATTTCCTCGACAACATCAATATAGGGAAATAAATTCTTAAAATTGCTGATAGAAATATCACAAAATCTATTAGGTTTAGATCACTTATCGGTATATAATTCAATTCGTACACATGTCTATCATCACATCGTAAGCAACACATACGTAGTCATTAACCTAAGTAAAATAGTGCTAGTAAATTGTAAAATTTAAATATGCCTTAGCTTTCCATCCTTGCTCCCCAACGACCATCCAATAACTTCTTCACGTTGTGCTTCGATTTTTATTCATTTTGGTGTGCACCAATGACCAGGACCGAACAGATGAACGCTTACCCTGTTTTCAATATATTGCGTTGTTTTATTAAGAACATCTTAGGTAGGTGTCCCTTACGGCTACTTCAGCTCTTCCCTTCAATATATATTCCTAGCCGATCACTACCCATTTCAGCAACACGACGCATGGCTGACAACACAAACGGCCTGCATCGGAAGTATTACTTCAATCTCAAACGTGAATACTTCAGTCTGAACCGTGAATACGTCATATCAATGTGAATCCGGTATTCTCAATATCCGACTTTGTTATTACTTGATCCCCAAAGCGTGTATTTATTTGCTTATTTATTCGTTTGTTGATCATTTGTATAAAACCATATTTCAAAGAATTTAATTTCAGCACAAAATCACGACACACATGAGACCATCATAAAATCAGAGTTTCTCTCTCGAAATTGATATTCCAGTTATAGTGTCGCAAACGTAGTAGATAGCATTTACTACAAAGGAAGATTCAAAGTACTGTAGTCATTATCATATGATAGTTTCAAATATAATTTTAAAATGGGCGTAAATTATTCAACACCATTGTCTTGGGTACTGTCATTATCCGTGAAATCCTTCGACTGTCCACTTGTATATACACCTACATATAAGTGAGTATATCATAAGTATATGATAAGGACACATTAATGTTCCTAATAATCAACAAGTTTGTCAAATCATGAATTGTAAATGGATATTAATGATTCATAAAATGTAAAATTATAAAAAAAATATTACAAACAGTTTAATTCATTGTTGATTGAAGTTAATTTGTTCAGGTGAATTCTTGAATCTACACAAAATATACATACATACATGCATACATACACTTACATACATAAACACACACACACACACACACATTACATATATATATATATATATATATATATATATATATATAGTCCTTCTAAAAATAATTGATTTACATATTAGTTGATTAGAGATTTTACATCTGCTCTGATTATCTCATTAATGATTCTTTACCTAATTCTATCATCTATCATGTTTATCTTTTTCTTATTCTTTCATACTATTTATCTATGGTTACATTTTATTTATTACTTTCTTTTTTTCTTTTCTTTTTTATTTGGATTATATTGACTTCTATTTTGCTTACTTTTTTTCTTTGTTTCACGATGATAATCGTTACTTTTCGTATTGCTTTCGTTCGTTCTTTCTTTCTTTAATGATTTCGATCATTTTTTTATTTCTTTCGTTTTATCTGATAATCTTTACTTTTTCGCCTTTATTTGTTTCGTTTCCAGTGATTATTATTACTTATACGTCTTTCTTTTATCTTTCATTCACTATTCATTTTCTCTTTCTTTGCCTTTCTCTTTCCTTTTATATTTTCTTTCTCTTTCTTTCTTTTAAACTTTATCTTTTCTTCATCTGTTGTCTCTTTCTTTCTTTCGCTTATTTATCGTACCCATATGTTTATTCTTTTCTTTACATTTTCTTTGTTTTTCTTTGTTTTATTATTACTTTTTCCTTACTTTTGTTTTTCTTTCTTTCTTTCTTTCTTTCTTTCTTTCTTTGGTTCTTTTTATATTTCATATATCTTTCTTTTCTTTATCTTTTTTTCTATCATTCTTTCGTCTTTTTATATTTCATATTTATTTCCCATATATTTCCTTTAGATTTGTTTGTTTCTTTCTTTTTTTCTTACAGTCTTTTTATAGTTCATTTGTTTTTCGTTTCTTTATGTTTTCTTTATCAATATTTCTCTCTTTTTATCGTTTCTTTCTCCTTCTCTTTTTCTTTATTATATTTCATTCTTTCTTTTCTTCATCTTTCTTTTTTATCTTTCCTTTACATTTCTGCATTTTTTATATTTCTTTCTTTCTTTCCTTTATCTTTCTTTTTATATTTTCTTTATCTTTTCTTTCTTTCTGTTGTTGCCTTTCAATTAAATTTTTGTTTTATACTATCTGTAGATTAATCTCCGCTTGAAACCTCTGGAAACTCCATCTTCTCAACATCTTACTTTCCTTTTGTCCATTCTATGATTCAGGTTGAACAAAACTTACGCACATATCCATAGACATTTCGAGAGGTTATCATTGATATATAGACAGGAATTTCCTGCCCTCTTTAATCCATTCTTGCACACCCCGCTGTTGATATGCGGCCAGACGTGGTGAGGACCATTCGAACTTCCTTTGCTGAACTTTCGCAGCTTGTTTTTGGCAATAATAAGTAAAGGTTGCCTCAGCGCGCCGTTGAAACTACGAGGGCGGGAATAACGAAGAGTATTCTGAAAATGGCCGCAGGAAGAGAGGCAATATGAAAGGGAATATAAAGTTTTTAAGTATATGTCAGAAAACTTTATCTTTACACAAATGTACATAAATATATTGGCATATGTATATCAATAGGAATGCACATGTTGATAGGAAATAAGCATCTATCTATCTATCTATATATATATATATATATATATATATATATATACATATATATATATATATATATATATATATATATATATATATATATATATATATATATATATATATATAGAGTAAAGGATTTATATTGGAACATGAATAAACTTAAGCACAAGATCGTACATTTTACATCATGGAATTAAACAACACACATGCACATACTCACAAACTCACACACACGGGCAAAAAAAAACAAACACACATATATATATATATATATATATATATATATATATATATATATATGTGTGTATATATATATATATATATATATATATATATGTGTGTGTGTATGCAGAAAAAATAATTTATACTTTTTGCTACACACAAGTTATGTATATATAGATATATATATACACACACACACACACACATATATATATATATATTTGTGTATAAATGTGTACGGAGTATATATATATATATATATATATATATATATATATATATATTAATAATTTCTCAAAGGATGAAGGAATATCACTAGTTAAGAGGAGGTGATATATATATATATATATATATATATATATATATATATATATATATATATATATATATTTCACTCCAAGGAAGAATGGATATCACTAGTTAAAGGGTAGGTGACAGAGTGTGAAGGTGAGAGAAAAATCTACTTAAATAGGAGACCGAGGAAAGGATAAATGCAGAACGGTTTTCAAGAGCATAGTAGATGGCGATTGACGTCGGATCAAATTTTTGAAAATGTTAATTATCAGGGAAGCAATAAAACAGAATGCAGTTCCACAGTTGGAATGCGCGAGAAAAGAAACCCCTGTAGAAGTGTCTGTTGCATTTACCTATTTCAACAATAAATCGGTGGGACCTAGATGGCAATCCTGTAGTACGCTTAAACGCACATAGTCCTAGCACCAAGGAAAAAAGAACATCGTCAGAGCAGTTGTTATGAAAATATTTATAGAAAAGACAGGGAAGCTACGTCCATAGATATTCATTATAAACACATACCCGCATACACAAAATATACACACGCACACATATATATATATATATATATATATATATATATATATATATATATAGGTAAGCAAATATATGGATATACTGAAAAAAACAAAATCCATAGTAGACCATCTTCAGGGTGTTGAATTAAATATAGTCTAATGTCAATTATGTTTTATGAATATGTCCTGAAGATGGTCTACTAGACCGAAACGTCCGACGTTGACATTATATTAACATGAAAAAGCATAAATGCATATTAGGATTTTTGTTTGTTTTTTCCGTATATTTTTTTCATATATATATATATATATATATATATGTGTGTGTGTGTGTGTGTGTGTGTGTGTGTGTGTGTGTGTGTGTGTGTGTTAATTTAATTAGAAAGCAGAAATCCGTAAATGTCCATTGATTATATTTTATTTCCTGAGGAAGGTGATTTTTCCTTGTTCCTCAGAGCAAATTTCTAAGTATAAACAGTGGTTTTAAATTTAAGTATTATATTTATACACCTTTGAGAGGTAGTTTTAAGTTGATGTAAAGTGATAGAGAGAGGGTGAGGTCGACACATATGGTCAAAATTAGAGAATTAGGAATAATTTTAAATCTATTTTTATTAAAATACTCAAGTGAAAGGTGGGTGTAAGAACGAAACATTGAACTATTTAATAATTTATCTCATGGGAAAACAGACAAAGAGACAAAAGAAGAAAAATATAAGAAAGTAAATATGAAATCAGTTGTGAGAGGAAAAATGCAGGGAAATGAGGAAAAGGAAAATAATTTAACAGATAAAGGCATATTGCATTTAATTTCTAAAAACACAGATTGATATATTTTGCAGTGAACGTTTGACATTAAAAATTATAAACAGAACAAAATAGGATAAAAGGGACAATGTAATAATGTGAATATAAAATGAACAAAAATATTAATATCAATATTATTAATATTTTAATAACAACTAAGGCGTAAATAATTAATAATTAAAATCTGAAATTTCATAATTCAAAACCTAAATTCATAAACTTATATATATATATATATATATATATATATATATATATATATATAAGATTATGAATTTAGGCTTTAAATTATGAAATTTTAGATTTCAATTAATAATTTTACTCTTTAGTTGTTATTAAATATATATTTATATATATATATATATATATATATTAATATATATATATTGTAGATATGTATCTAAGTTCCTCGAGAGCCTAGCACCGACAGCCTAGTGTCTCTATCCTAGATTAAAGCAATCGCGTGTCTAACTACACTGAAGAGTTGTGATATATATATATATATATATATATATATATATATATATATATATATCTCTCCACTGCCCCTCTCCTCATCCTTTTCTTTTCTATCACTCCTATCTGAACTTGCTCCAAATTTTCTGTAACCCCCCCTTGCGTACAAGTGGCCTCCTACCTTGCTTGGGGTGAAACATATATATATATATATATATATATATATATATATATATATATATATATATATAAAAAGAAAGAGAGAGAATGTGAGAGATGGGGGGTGAGCGAGAGTCAGAAATGGAGGGAGAGAGAGAGAGAGAATTAGATAACCTCACGTGTAGTCATACGCACACACGCATATATATTAAGATTGTTAAACAAGTTATAATATATATATATATATATATATATATATATATATATATATATATATATATATCTACTGAAAAGTTTGTTTCGGTTTCTTTCTTTGAAGCCATGTTTGATCTTCGAAAATATTGATCGTTATTTTCCCCTTTCGTTATTTATATTCTTTTATTTTTCTGGCTCCTCAATAATTTTATTCTTTTTTTTTTATTCTTTCACATTCTGTACGCCCCGGCGTGTTAGTGGCTTTGTTACATTGCTTGGGGTGAAATGATGTATATATTCACGTCTAATAACTGGTCAGCTACTGGCGAGTGCCTCTGTCTGGGTGAGCGTCTGCCTAATCCCTGTTGCAAACGGTTTTGTATAGCCAGTTATCATAGACCGCAATCTCGTACCCCTAGGCGCAAAAAACGATTGACCAATCGCGTTTGATTGTGTGTAATTTAATAATATATGTATAGGTGTGTATGCGAACGTTGAATGAAATATGTAAACGTTAGTACTGACATATATTTATATACATATATATGTATATGTGTGCGTCTGTGTGTCTGTGTGCCTGTGTGTGTGTAACATGATAACGAATAGTCTACAGTTCCAATGTTCGTAATTGTAATTCATAAGAGGGCTAAATAGAAAGGTGTTGTTTGGTAATTTACCCACGCATAGATTCTCCCAGATATAAATCGGATTTTGGAGAGAGAAGTTTCCAACATTCAGCCCTGACAGTGGGGCCGAACATTCTTGCCGTAACACTCACTCTGAATTACCGTTCCTGTTTGTTGTTGTTGCTGTTGTTATTGTTGTTTAATTCAATTCCTCTCTTTGTATCTTTATTTCTGGCCATAACAAAGGGCAAAATACTGAAATATTCTGCATTTTAGGATTTTCTTTCGTAAATTTACAATCGCCTGATGAGATGTTTTCATATGTATACGACTGCAATTGTGTAGCGATTTTGACATGTTTCGATGCAATAACCTAAAATAATATATATATATATATATATGTGTTTGTGTGTGCGTGTGTGTGTGTGTGTGTGTGTTCTCGAATGTTTGCCCGCATATGGGTGTGTGTGAGTATGTGGGGTGTGAGCGTATGTAGGTGGCTGTATATGTCTGCACGCATATCATACGAAGCAAACATTCAAATGCGATGAGGCATAAAGTAAAATTAATATCAATTGAACCTCGTCTAATATTTCAGCGCACACCAATTTGGACTAATCTTTAAACTATCCTATCAATAGACAATTGGTGAGTACCATACCGACTCACTTCTCAAACTCTGTGCAAGTAATGAAACATCATAATCTCTTCCTGGTCGATTAAGGATCATTTGAATATCCTGTTTTTATAACAAAAAGTATTATTCAGATGTATTACCTCTTCCCCAATAGTGCAAATGTAATGCGCACTTTACATCTTACTATTATGTTTGATCGTTACCAGATCAAACTTAATTGGAATCAACGATCGGTTAAGAAGACGTTTAACCAATATATTGAACTGTAATTTGAATCGAATACGCAATGATGTTTTAATTACACTTGGAATCAATATCAGAATTTAATTACTGAGCAATGAAGTCTTTAGAGCAGAGACTACAAAATACACTAAATGATTTGGAATATTGAAGACAGACAATTTATGTGGATAAAAGAATAATTAAAAATTAATCTCAGACGAAAAAAAAACAAACAACGTCTTTGAAGAAGAGAGGAAACGCAGACATCCTATAAAGCTATAAATTCCTGCATACTCATATTGAAATATTTCGAGTCTTTCCGCATCTAGCAAATGAGAAGATTGGATCAGTGAACAGGAAAATTTATACCCGTCCATAAAGACACGCCTATTTCAAATATTACACTGACG